TTGTTGGCATTTGCGCTGCGGGGCTCAGCTAAATTGATAAATGCACCTGGCTAACTGCATTCCCCCCGCCATTTTCGCCCGAATCCGAATCCGAATCTGAGTTCTGAGTTCTGAGTTGCGAATCCTGGATCCTTTCGGGTTCCGGGGCTATGGTATGTCGGCCTCCTTTTGCCCGGGGCCTTTTGTGCCATTGATTTGATTGCTGGCTGCGATCATCTAATTGATGCGATGTGCTCGCACAGCTGGCAAATGGAAAATGCTCGGTGGGAGGTATGTACTCGTATGCATGAATGTACATCTGTGGGCCAATTAATTTGGCAACTGATATGGCTCCCGGGGCTTTTATTGGTAGACCACCAGATAGTTGAACTGATTCAGCAGTTGCTTAAACGTGTTATAACAACTGAGAGGTATAAGATATTTAAATAGGATTTTATTTTGGCTTAAAAATATTATCATATCAAACGAAACGAACTTTGTAAGCCTTTGCAATGAATATTTTAGAACATTAATCCGATTTAAGATTAGACAAAAATATATTCATAGGATGGGTATGAATAGGTGTCACATATTTACTTTTGAGGCTCACGAAGATAGGATTTTATTTATTTATTTACTTACATACTGATATGATATGATTTTAGTTATAGGTAATACTTAGCAGATTTTAGCTGCTTGAAAACACTAAGCTTTTATTGTATGTACGTATACCAACATGTTGTGAACTTTTCAGCTTAAAATGGTTTTTCTTTCTTATTAATACCATTTAAAATTGAATATAAATATAAACTTTTATATTTTGGGTATAACAATTATGAAGTACAGGAATAAATGATTTAAGTTGTAGGTAATAACCAACAGATTTCAATTTGTACCAACATTTTGTGCATTTTTTTGGCTGACAGCCTTGACATAAGCGTACCGAAAATCGCGATCCGCACGTGAAAAGCTTTTCGCTACTAAATCCAATCACGGATTCGGAGTGCTCACCTTTCGGAGGCTCCATTTTGGGACCACGTGTGCACGACAGCCGCGTCCTTGATGGCAAGGTGGGGCTGGAATTGGGTGGGGTGAGCCCGACCCCCTGGCTGCATCAACAGATGGCAAAACCTTTCGCAAGGCCCGCATTTCTCCACAAGTGTTGCCTATTTCACGGTGCCCCGCGCGACACGGCCAATTGCCTTGAGAGGGGGTGGTAAAAAGGGTGGGTTTTGGTTGCTAAAGGAGTGGAAAATAGGGGGTGGTAGGGCGGTTGGACCCCGAATGGCAAGCCCTTGATGTTGTCAGTTGGCTTAGAAATGCTGCATAAAAGGACAAAGCGACGCGGAGCCCGAGGAAGCGGGCCAGAACAACAACAGCTGCGATCCCTTGGCCACCCACCACCCATCTTGGAAAAGGCTTTTCCACAACGGCAATGTCAGCTGTCCATATGCAACTGGCACACACGTGCACTGGGAAAAAATAAGTATAATAAATTAATGTTTTCCATCGTATAGAGCTTTTTAAAAACTTTTTTTCGAGCTAAAACAACTTGTAAATAGAGCTGAACTATTTTTCGAAGACTTATAAATATTCAAAGAAAATATATTAATTAGCTGAAAAATACGACATTTAATACGAATTCCTTCCATAATCTTATATTTCAGAACAAGTTTCTGATTTCAGATATTTATTTTTTTTCGCTCTGCATAGACAGCCAACTTTTATCTTTTGCGGACTGAAGTACTTTTAGCTGCCTTTGTGCTGCACGTGCTCTTTGTTTTTGCTTCTTGGCACCACCCCCCCCCCCCCCCCTTTTCGGGAACACCTGAAACCACCCAACACCCACCTTGCATCAAAAAAGGTAAGGTCGTAGGAGTCGCTGGCTGCTTTTTTGGGAGCATACTGCGCACTTACCGCATTTAATGAAGGCATTTAGCAATACGATGCCCAAAAAAAGGAGAAAACTGACAGAAGACGAGCGGCGATGGCAAATTGCTGGCGATTCGTAGATGCACTTGACCTTTGACTTGAACAGGTGAGGGGGTGAGGGGGCACATCTCTGGTGACTCTTAAGATATCAGTCGGCAACCTTCAAATCTTCAAATTCCCAGAAATGGCAAAAATCGTTTCAAACGATTTCAAATAAATTGTACTCTTACTTATTGGATCATTCAATAAGAAACCATAAATTCAGAACAGGAACCAAAAATACTTGTAATTATAATTTGTGACTTTTGTTTCTAGAGGCCTACTATGTTTTTCAAATTTGGTTGATTTTTGACACTTCGAAAAAGGTAAATATAATTTTCTTTAATTCCCAAATTCTAATTTGTACTACAAGGGGCTACAAAGAGGAAAAATAAAAAGTGTGGTATTTCTAACATTTATAAGTAAAATTCACAATCACAAAGATTGATATTTTCGGTCCCTGATTTATAATAAGATTAAAAAATGTTAGCAGCTACAAGCTAAATAATAACTATATTATGTCGAAATAAATCTGCTTTTAAACAAAAATCTTAATTTAAAGCAAACCCCTTAAACAAAAGTCTAAGCTTTTGAGATTAATACCCATTTGATAAAAAAACCCTAAGCTCAAATCTTATTTAACTAAAATAAAGACCAAGCTGGGAAAAACATGATAGAAAAAATGAAATGTTTAAATTCTTGTGATAATTCTGATAAATTTAAATACCGTTGTACAAAAAAGCTTAACTTTGGAAGAAGAGCTCTCAAATAGGAAAAAGTAAAAGAACTGCCGAGCAAAAAATATGAGGAAGGGCAACTTTTGGTCAAGTGCCATTAAAACGTATAAGCTGCAAATACACTCGTACCTTTCGATGGTCCAAGTTCGATTTGAGCACTTTAAAAGCAATGTGTTTTAAGTGGGTGCATTTGCATCCAGCTGTAGGGTTTTTTGCGACACCGTACCCCCTGAAAACTGCCACGCCCCGAAAAAGTGTGACAACAGCCCACACACACGGACACCTAAATGAAAACCAAAGTATAAATTGCAGAGCAGCAGATGAAACCGGAGCTCAAGTGGCCGGCGGCCATGCGTGGAAAAGCCCGTGAAAAGTGGGTGGGGGTTGGTTGGTGGGGGGTGAAAAGGCCGTGGAAAAGCGCGAATGGCAGTGTCGCACTTGGGACAACTTTTCTTATTTTTTTCACTCTTTCTCCTTTTCTCTTTCTCTCTCAAAAGGCAGATGGCAAATGACCCGCGGCCCGGACTGTCCAAAGTGGTGACCCCAAATGTCCAAAGTGGTGACCCCGACCATTCACTTTCGCATTCCCATTCGCATTCTGGTTCACCCAATTCTCGGAATACGACCGGACTGACATGCTCTAATTGATTTCAAGACCCCCGGAGGTTTGCCAAAAACGCGACGACAACTGTCCGGCAAAACAGCTTAATTATATTTCCAGTTTCGAGTTTTGCCAATTGTTTTTTTTTTCCCCCAAAAAAGGGAGAACAAAAATATAGTAGGGGAAGATTTAAGAGGAGTTGCACTTCTTCTTTTCCAGCCAGGTTAATTAATTTTTCCTTTTCCTGAACGCCCCGACAGGTGGCAAAGTTTTCATTCAATCAAGTGTGCCAAGTGCCCCGCCGAAAAGAAGAACTTTGAACTTGAAGTTTTTTGGCACCAACCACCTCCAGCTGAGCTCCGTCGTCCTCATCTTTATCCGCCTCCAATGCCAGCATTTTAATTAGGCTAATTAATTTTTGGCACAGAAAACCAAGAAAACCCCAGCCATGAGCCAAAACTTTTCACGGTGTGGGTGGGTTGCCTTTTATTTTATCGGTGGGTGGTGCTTATGGTGGTTCTTCGGAAAGGAAAAGTTGGAAAGGAAAGGAAATGCAGTGGCAAAAGTTTCGAGAAGCTTGCCAAGAAAACGATGTGACGGTGCGTGTAGTTCCATAAATTGTTCTCAAAAAGCGACTGTATAACAGCTGAGTGGCTGCCACAACAACAGGTTGTGTCGGTGGCAAGAGAAACATAATTGCAAGCATATATGTAACCTTTCATATATGTTCATATAAATTGGATAGACATTATATTCTATCCTATACGCACGCTTTTCTGGGAAGTACTTTTTTAACTCCAGCTTATCCACATTTTAAAGTAAGGGATTGAGAATTGATATTTCGCTTACTTATACTTTATAAAAAGTTATGATAATTTTTATAAATATCACACAACAAATTACTCAAAAAATACCCGACTGCTTGAATAATCTTTCTTGCAGAGGTATTATAATTTCCTTTCTCTCAGTTTAAAGCTATCGGTATAAAACTTGCAGGTAGTATATAAGTCGGATCGATCCGAATATGATCACTATATCTTTTAGCTTCCAAAGGAATGATCGAAAAAATAACAGCAAAAAGTCTAGCTTCGTTTCACACTTTCTTATGATTTGTTTATATGATTAGTTTTCTTTTTGGACGACTATATCATATAGTTGCCATAGGGACAATCGAGAAATTAATGAGAAAATATACATTTAAAAATACATTTAACCTTTTTTGTTTTGAGCATATCCTCTTCTACTTTAGGAAACAGATCCTTTTTACAATTTCAATTTATGTTATTTTTAATCGGACAATTATATAATAGATTTTACAAAGGAACGATCGGAAAATTAATAAAATATGTAAAGCTTTGTTGCTTACAACATATTTTCTAAAGATTTAAGGACTTCTTTTTTTTTATGACTATATCATACAGCTGTAATAGGAACTATCGGTATATTGATTTACAAACCTTCCTAATATACGGTTTTTGTAATATATGCATGATTTTAATAGCATTTGATTTAAACTGCAAGGGTAAATCAACTTCGGCCTGCCGTAGCTAGCTTCTTTTCTTGTTCATTTGAATTTGATGGTCTGGATCCCACATTTTGAATGCGAACATATGAATACACAATACATAATAAAACATCTGAATAAAAGCATATCATATATCCTTTATTTTTTGAGAAATTCGTTTGGACAGTCAGAAAACAACTCGGCGGTTCTAAAATGGCCAACACTCCTCACAGTCATATCCGCTGGGAAAAGCGTCCTCGATCTCATTTAAAGAAATGGCAGTTAAATGATCGCCGGAGCAGAGCTCCTCTCGTATGTTCAGTAGACGGCAGCAAAACTTCATATAGGACAGATCCCATCCAGTGACCGGCTCCTCGTTGGACTGCAGGGGTTCAGACTCACGCGTGAAAAAGAAGATCGGCATAATCTTCTGGTTATTACGCACAATGTAGGGCACCAAAAAGCTACCGGCAATGCGTATAAAACTGCACGGTTCCCAGGGAAACCTGCTGCCGCGAGTTAGTTTGTTGCAGCAAAAGCCCAAAAACAGATAGAACTCATAGGCGTCAATTATATGGATGACGGTATCGCGTAGGGTGAATTTCTCGCTGCTAAATTGACCATCGCAGTGATCGCGATTGATTTCGTTCAGGAGGCGCATCTCGGAAGAGGTGATGGGTAGTCTGGTCATATGGCCGCAAAGGGCGAAGATATCCGGATGCATGAAGTTGCGGCATTTGAAGAGCACCGGCTCCGCAAACAACATACGTACGCACATGTATTTTTGTGAGTTACGATAGATGTACGGTACGTGGATAGTTCCGAACTGCGCCCAGCCAAAGGTCCCGGGAAGGTAGCGCCTATTCATGGTTTGCTCCATTCCTGAATTGTTCTTTAAGGTTGAGATTTAAGATTTTGCAAGGAAATTTTTTCGTCGTCAATTGCCTGAATGACTTGCGTAGACTGACCTGGTGTGACCTACTTTGGTCAAAGTTTTACCTGTCCATTGGTTGGAAACGCGTTTTTATCCTCCCCATCTTTTTAACACTGAGTTTTAGTGTTAAGCAACGCGAGCCAACACCAAAAAATAACAAAGCGTCTTTTGTTGCTCGCTTTTAGGCTTTCACAAACAGTGTTGAAAACCGTTTTCGATTATAATTCAAATACGAATAGTCAGGCTATAACGTTATGACTCGCCAATTAATCTTAGTTTGTCAACAACTTTTTCTGTGTTAATAAATAATAGCATTAATTTACGGCTAAAAATGTGTGAATCCAAATTTTCAGACCCATAAGAATTGATTTTTTCCTACCCCAAAAAGGAACATCTTCGTTCTCCATATATCGTAATTAGTTTGGTAAAAAGCGATAAACGGAAGCGAAAATAAACCGATAAAGCTCGCATCACAGCAGCATTTCCCTTGTTAGAATACTAATGATGTCGAAACAGACAGCCCTCCGTCCTTTTTGGGCCCAGTTATTAAACATAAGTTTGCCAATGGGCCAGCAGGAGCAGATGCTCGTGCCCCGGACTCCGGACTCCGGACTCCGGACTCCGTATTCCGGAAGTATGCAGGCGAGCTGACAAACCCGTTTAGGAAGTTGAACGGCCTGCGAACAGCGAACAGAGAACAGAACGCCAGGAAGGAAGGCGGAAGTGTGTAATTTAAGCTGCGGGCGGAGGGATGAAGGTCGAAGGACGAAGGACGAAGGACATGGGACGAAGCCACAGGGCGGGGGAAGCCAGGAAACTTGCTAAACCAAAAATGCAACAAGCAGCTGGTTAACTAAACGGAATTCTCGGGAAGTGGGGAAACAGGAACCCAACCTTCAATACGATTTAATACATATAAATACAAAAATTAAATAGATAAATTCCTCTACATATCATAAAAAAGCTAACAGAAGATACAAACGAATTATGAATAACACGTCAATTATTACAACGGTTTTTTTTTTTTAAATTCCTATGTTATTGCGAAATCAACAATTCGCATTTATTATTTTTTTCTTTATTAGTCACTTGACTTTTAATAAATAAAATATGCATCGAAATGTTATGATTTCTAATTAATATTTAATAATAAGGGCCAAATGTCATTGGAAATGTTTTCATGTTGCAAAAAATGTGCTGAAAATGATATTATAGGTAAAGGGAATTTCAAAATGTTCAAGGCTAAGCAGATTATGATTGGTGACACCTGGTTTAAGTTAAGGGTCTCAGCTCGTTTTTATTGCAATTTAAAATCACTTTATCTAGCCGTGTTATAATAAGGTGAATACCGCTTTTATTGTAAGCCCAAAGTCCAGTCTCTGGTGCCAAATATGCAAAACGACCAAATGCACTTAGTCGATATGGCTGCTTTTAGCCAAAGTTGCTAGCATTTTGCCGGAGTTGCACATAAATCGTGGCAACTTGTGCGCTCAAAGAGCCGAAAAATGACATCCAATGGTGGCATTGGCAGCCAGGAAGGATGAGGAGCAGCCAGGACTAACAGGACTAAACAAAACATTTATGGCTGAGTTGGGGAGAGAGGTGAGTGGGGAACAAATGGCAGCTTTGGCATCAACTCAAGTGGCCATAATGGCATAGACGATGTACAGGAAGCCACTGCTGCTGTTGTTGTTGTTCAGGGGGAATGTGGAATGTGGGGAAGTGTCACAGGAAACCGGAAGTGCGGCAGATAGCAGTGCAAAAGTTGGCTACGTCCCAGTTTTAGGACAACGACACCGCCCGAGAAAGCCATCATCATCATCATCATCATCATCGTTATGATCATAATCAAAGGTCCGGGCCCATTTGGCACCACTCAAAATGAAATGTGCATATAGCTCAACTTGAACCGAATCATCATCGGTTGAATTTTTGTGCGCCTTAATTATGCGCTCATTAGACGACTGCCTTTGTGGCACACGGATTTCGCTTTCGCTAAACCCCAGACCCCCCCCAATTCAATTGAATGCCTTTCATTTCATTTCTTTTGATTTCATTTGATTTCATTTCATTGCATTTCATTCCATTTCGTTTGGCTGCACTGCGAACTGACAAATTTCTTAATTGCAAGGCAGCTTTTTGGAATGTCTTTTCATCTGCATCTACCGGGGGGCCCCCAAAAATGCAAACAGAAAGATTGAAAGCAGCAAAAAGCGTAAAAGAATCAACGGGTAGAAGTGGGCCAAAACCGAAAAAAACAGTGAAAATCTAAAATAAAAAATAAGACTGAACGAATTGGGATACTCTTTCAAAACATCAAGATATTTATATTTCACTTTTAATAGAGATTTGCAATTAATAGTGGTATTTTCGAAATATATTATCAAATCTTAAAGGTATATTCATTTGATATTATTAATGGACTTTACTTAAACACTCGTTTAATGATATTATTATAACAATATTTTACGGTCTAGGTTATTTACCTTCAATCCCAAATTCTTAAACCATCTGCTGAGCTTCTTATTGATCTTTATTTTATAAATATATTATTAAATCTTAAAGGTATATTCATTTGAAATTATTAATGGACTTTACTTAAACACTTGTTTAATGACATTATTATAACAATATTTTAAGGTTTAGGTTCTTTATCCCATATTCTTAAACCATTTGCTGAGCTTCTTATTGATCTTATAATCTTTATACCCTGACAATCTAATGGGTATTTAAAAGCAGATGGAGAGAAATCAGGCCAGCCGAGCGTGGGATTTGTTCAAAAACTGGCCAAAAAGGGGCAGAAAATGCGGTGTAAAAGGGTGCATCTGTATCTGCATCTGTATCTGTATCGGTGTATCTGAGTATCGGTGTATCTGTGTATCTGTGTATCTTGCCTAATGGCCGCTGGCAAATGCAAAAAGGCTGTTGCCTGTTTGTTGCTGCTGCCTGCTGCTCTTGCAACTCGGTTGGATTGGCAACCTTGAAGTTGCCCAGAGAATGCAGAATAATAACAAAAAAAAAATTGAATTTAATTCAAATTGAGCTTGCCTTGCCGCACACAGACGCACAGGCCGAACAAAAGAAATGAGAACTGCTCTAAAAAGGGCTCAACAATGTCTTGGCATAGTTACCACCCTTCCATCGCAACCCCTAACCTCCAAGCTCCAAGATCCAACCACCAACCTCTAACCCCTAACCGTGCATCTAGTCGTCTCTTTTTGTGGCATGTGCTTAAATAGACAAGTTTATTGCCAGTTTTCGGGCCTGTGGGCCAAACAATGACGAGGCCAAAAGGGTAGACAAGTGCTGGGCCATGTTTTTCTTATATTCCCCACATACATATATTCTTGCACTGGCAAAGGTCAAAAGTGTGTGCGTTTTGTTTTCGGTTCGGTTCTTACTTAGCACTAGGTCAAAATGCTGGGACAGTTGTCATGTGGCCAGCGAGCGGGTCTTAAGGTGAGCAACTTGAGTCCCAATCCCTCCACGGGTTCCATATTTCAGTTCCATGTTTCTGCTACTGTTACTGTTTCTGCTGCTGTTTCTGAGTCTGGCTTAGGCTTTTTTTTTTGTCATGTGTCAGAAATTGTACAAGATCCCGGCTCTCGTTTCTCGTATCTTTCGGCTGCAGTCTCAGCACATTTGGGTCCTATGTTTGCCTTTGCTTATTCATAGAGCTGGTACGGCTTTCTCTGGGCTCTGAGCTTAATTGTCATACATTTTTTTTTTTTGGTCCGACTCTTTATGACGGCCACAGAAACTGGGTTAAAACGACCGAAACACTCTAAACTGTGGCCGGTAAGCCAAGGGTCAAGATGGCCAATTTTGGCAGAATATTTTTTGCTGGGCATAACAGTTCAGGGTTGTTGGCTACCAGAATATTCACAGTTCTTAACAAGTCAAACGGTCATTACAGATGTTCCTGTGACCCTATAGATATGAATTTTGGTATGCAGTTGCTAAATTGAAAACTAATGTTGATATAATAAATATTTTGATAATTAAATTTGAAAATGAAAAATATATTTAATACGTGCCTTAAACCAGTTTTGAACTACAAACTTTAGGATATTTTTGTGACCTTATAGATATGAATTTTGGTATGCAGTTGGTAAATTGAAAACTAATGTTGTTATAATAAATATTTTGATATTTAAATTTGAAAATGAAAAATATATTTAATACGTACCTTAAGCCAGTTGTGAACTACAAACTTTAGGATATTCCTGTGACCTTATAGATATGAATTTTGGTATGCGGTTGGTAAATTGAAAACTAATTTTGGTATAATAAAAATATTTTTTTAATTAAATTGGAAAATGAGAAAAATTTAATACGTGCCTTAAACCAGTTGTGAACTACAAACTTCAAAATGCAATTTGCAGAAGGACCCACTAACCATTTTCCAGCCGCATTCTGCACCCACTTACTTATTTATTCGGCTCAATTTGCGAATTTAACTGCCGCATTTTCTCGCCGCCATTTCATTTGCCAAACATTTCTTTTTACGAGCGGCGCAAAACTTTGCCATGGCACTTTCTCTCCGTCTCCCTGGGAGACGGGGCAATTAGGCAAGTTTTTTAACCATCCACCCACTCCATTCCACCCCCATCCCATTTTTCCTTCCTAATCAGCAGACCAGGCGAATAGAAATAAACGAATAAGGGCAATGGGAATAACAAGCAAGACGGCAAGTAAATTATTTGGCAATTTCAAAGGTTGATGCTGACCTGATGACGGCCAATTAAAAACCAAAAATTGCGTCAAATGACAAAGCAGACAAAGAGGCGAAAATAAGCAGAAAAGCGGGGGCCAAGTTTAATTGAAAATTATCAAGAACAGACGGTTGGATCGTAAAGGCGGGCGTAGAATTTCGACGGAATAGCTGTGGAATCGGTGGGTTGGGGTCAGAGGTCACCTGCCTTGGAGACAAGTGTCGCCGCACC